CAACTTTCAGCCAGTGAGCCGATTGTGCACGTCGTGGCGCCGCTGGCAGCTAGTCTGCATCATTGACTCGAGCATTCCGATCCATCGACATGACGAGCAATGAACGTTGATGGCGTGGGGAGCATCGACAACAGCCGGGTCTACACAGGTAGTATGTCTCACGTTCGGTTCCAGTAGAACCAGAATGCAATAACGAATAACCATGACACTATCGAAGACGCCTACGGCGACTCACCGCCGCCCCCTGCCTTTTTGGAAGCGCCAATGCGGCCGAACGTTGCGGCCCGAGCTCGGCCAAGCTATCGGACCAGGTTTTCCCCAAGCCGTTGTGGAAACCCTTCGGGGAACACGTGGCGGAGAATGAAGAAGAGGAGGAGAAGGATGAACAAGGAGGAAGCAGGAGGCTTCTTGGGAGCCTAGTGGGGCACTTCCGGGGTCTCCCGGGAGCTTCCTGGGGGCCTCGTGGAGGCCTCTTGGGGGCTTCCTTGGACCTCTTGGGGGCCTTGGGCGGCCTCGCGGGGGCCCCGTTGGCCGGCGTGGGGCGTTCCTGGCACATCTGACGTCGTCAGAAGCCGTCTTGAGGGTTTCGTTGGGCCGCCCTTGCGCCCGCTCAGGGCCGTCTTGGAGGCCATCCCGCGCCTGGGCTTAGGTCGAGCACGTCCCCCTTGCAGGCGAATTTTCAACGAAAAATAACGATCGTCAAAAATAATCAAACATGGTCAAAATAGATTCGAAAATTCGTGCCCAGACTATTTTTTACTATTTTTGAAGATTCCTCCTGTAGAGGGACAGGCCCGACTTAAGCCTGGGTTGTGGGTCGGAGTTCTCAGTGATGTTTTTGGGGGCCTCTTCGGAGCGCTCTCGGGGGCCTCTTGAGAGCAGTTTCGGGGCATCTTGGAGGACTCGGGGGCCTCTGATAATGCCTCTTGGGGCCTCCTGGGAGCCCCTCGGGGCCGAGGGCTCGAAACGTCCGCTTGGGTCCCCCATCTGGGCCCCCTCTTGGAGCAGTCTTTGGGGCCTCTTGGGCCGTATTGGGGCGCTCTGGTGCCGTTTGGGGGCCTTCTTGGAGGCCTGTTGGGCGGGCTTGGGGCGATCTTGGGGGCTTCTAGGGCCGTCTGGGAGCGTCGAGAAGCCGAAAAGGCGAGAACGCGAAAAAACGTCAAAAAATACAAGAATTAGAAATGTTGACCTCTTGGGGCCCTCTGGGGAGGCCTCTTGGCGGCCTCTTGGGGTGTATTGGGGGCCTCTTGGACAGCCTGGGGGCCATCGCGAGCGTCTTCTAGCGATCGTTCGGCGACTCGGGGCCCTCTTGGGCCGTCTCGAGGGCCTGTTGGCCCCGTCTTGGGGGGGCCCTCTTGGGCCCGAAAAAATCACGCGAGAAGATGCGCCAGAACCCAGAGGGCACGCGACAAGCCCCAAGAGAATTGAGAATTGAAGCTCCAGGCCCCCTAATGACTCCTCAGAAGTGAGGACTGAGGCTCAGGGGATTGGGCCAAGGGCCTGAGGACACGCCCACTCCGTGCCTAGCGGCACGGTGGCGGATAGATTTGCCATATGCTTGTGCATCATGAATCCTCTGTCTCTCCCTCGCTCTCTCTCTCTCTCTCTCTCTTTCTCTACTCGCCGTTCTCTCCTCCTCGCGCTCGAGCAGGAAGATGCTGTGGGTGACCCCAGCGAAGCCTGGGGTGGGGGGGCTACGCAGGTACGGGATGCTTGCCTGCTTGCCCCTCTGCTGTTCCTGGGCCCCCTCCCTCTCCCCCCCCCTCCCTCCGCTGATCTGCTTCTACGTGGGTGCCCGTGCCCGTGGCGCCTGCCTGGCACGAGCACACACAAGGCGGGTGGAGTCTTCGCGGCAGTTGTTGTTAATTATGTCGAGCTGTTGCTCATGCATGATCGCCACCAGGACTCCGACACACGGCGGGCCAGGCAGTTCATCCCCTCTATCCTCCCTCCATTGGCGCTTTGCTGTTGATTTCGTCGCGTGTGGCGCCCGCGGCCTATCTGGCGTAGTTTCATCTCGTGTCACGGTGGCAATCGTGCAGTGTTGGTTGATGCTCGCTGATGAAGAAAATCATTCGCTTGCAGTCAACGCTTCCCTCCACCGGTCAGGAAGTCGTGCCGCAGCATCTCTTTGTGCCCTCGTGGCTACGGCAATGCGCCAGGCACTTGTTCAAGAGCAATCGTGCACCGCTATCCCCTCGCCCTCCTGGTCCCCGTCTCTCCGCGTCCTCGTCCCGATTCCGCCTTCCCCTCGCCAGACATGCCCCCTCGCAAAGAGGCCTCCTGGACCCGTTCTGGCTCCGCTTCTTCGTTCGACTATGCTCTCGGTCTTGCCACTGCGGTCTCTTGAAAGCACAGCTTCTGACTAGCGTCTGGCTTAGCTTCGTCATACCAATACTGCCCCATCCGCTTGGGAACCTCTCCCTCCCCTCCCCCTCCCTTCCTCATTCCATCCTTCTCCTCCTTCTATCGAGCGGTTGCCTCCTTCTCTTCTTGCTCCTCCTCCCCTCCTCATATTCCTTCCCTCTTCCCCCTCCAAGTAATGATCCCCCTCATCCTCCTCATCATCACCATCAACAAGTGCATCATCAGCATCTGCATCATCATCGTCGTCACCATCCTCATCATCATCATCCTCATCTGATCATCACCACCACAACCACCATCATCATCATCACCACCACCACCATCATCATCATCATCATCATCATCATCAGCATCATCATCCTCATCATCATCCTTCTCACACCCTCTCCGCCACTCCCCTCCCTACCCTCCTCCTCCCCTTGTATTCGACCTTCCCATCAGCATCACAATCCTCACAATCATCGTGTCAGCATCATCATCATCATCATCACCATCACCACGGCCATCATCATCGTCGTCGTCACCAACATCAGCATCATCATCAGCATCATCATCAGCAGCATCAGCATCATCATCAGCAGCATCAGCATCGTCAACAACATCGTCAGCAGCAGCAGCCTCATCACCATCACCAGCATCATCGTCACCATCATCAACATCATCACAACCGCAATCATCATCATCACCATCATCATCACCATCATCGAAATCCTCACCGTCATCACCACCATCAGCAGCAGCATCATTATCTTCATCATCAACAACTGCATCATCGTCATCGTTACCATCATCAGCAGCATCACCACCACTATCACCATCATCATCACCAGCATCACCGTCACCTTCATCATCCTATTCATCACCGTCGTCATCAGCATCGCCCACCCCCCCCCCAACATCATCATCATCATCAGCATCATCATCGTTGCCGCCATCACAATCAGATTCACCATACTCAGCATGGTCAGAATCACCAGCAGCAGCATCAACATTGTCGTCACCATCGTTATCACGATCATCGCCAACAGCACCATCATCATCATCATCAGCATCATCATCATTACCGTCATCATCACCGTCATCATCACCATCCGCATCACCACCATCACCAGCATCGTAATCACCATCATCGTCACCATTCCATGTAACAGCATCATCGTCGTCATCACCATCATCATGGCCACCCGCATCATCACCATCATCCTCCCCGTTGCAACCATCACCAACAACAACAACAACATTCGCATCAACATATGCATCACCATTGTCATCATTATACGAATCGTTCTGGTCAGCATCATCATCATCATCAGCATCACCATTAGCACCACACCCCCTTCTCCACTCCTCTCCCTAGCCCCGTTCCCACCTCATCTTCCCCCTCCTTTCCCTCCTCCTCCTCCTCCTCCTCCTCCTCCTCCTCCTCCTCCTCCTCCTCCTCATCCCCCCCATCCTCCTCATAGCTCCCATGCGGGCCTAAGAGATAGCTTGGGCAGCACACTTCGCCACGATGATATTCCACAGCTCGTGTTGAAAGGATCGGGCGGAAGGCCCGCATGGCATCGACGGCATGGGTGGCCTTTTCTAGCGTTGGTTCTCTTCAACCCCATGTCCGCCAGACCTGGCAGAATGGCTTGGATACAGGAGGAGACGCAAAGTTTTGACGCAATCATCTTGACAGGAACCGCTAGGTGGATGAGAGAGGCCCATGTGACACAAGGCAGAGTAGAAGACATGAGGTACATAGATGCAGGATGGGAAAAGGGAGTGCTGACACACATGAGCACGGGAATCGTAATAACATGACAAGAGCGACTTAGAGGAGCACAGATCACAAGCGTGACGAAGCCACCTTGTGAATTATGCGGACGCGGATTGGCTCCCACACTAGCTGCCCAACAAAGGCAACAGCACAAAGCGGCATTACGCGACGATGGATCCCCTGTTCAAGTGGATGGAGGAGACAGCGAGGGATAGGCCCAGACACAGCATATTGATCGTCGCGGGCGGCCTCAAAGGAACACACCAGGATCACCAGCAGTGGGACCAGGCAGAGCACAATGAAGACTGCCAGGAAGAGCAGGACAGAGCGCCAGAAACTTCGCGGAGAAGCACGGCCTGATGATTGAATACCAGGGGAAAATTGGCGACCGACGTATTTCGGCGAGAAGAAAGCGAGCTGCACCAACCACACTATGGCATCACAGGAGCTGGCGAACAACACGATCTTGCAAGGCCCATTACTGCGCATGGGCACAGCCTAACCTCTCCCCTGTCGGGAACATAGAGACAACCCACCAGTTCAGACTACTGTCCGACTACCACCACGACAACGAATTCGGCAACAGCAGAAGACTACGAAATGCGACCGAGATGGAATAGTGCGAGCAGGCAGACAAGAATCCAGGAGGAACGAAATCACCCGCGACCTCGAGCAGAACGTGGAACAGTACGAACCCGAGGGCAAAGCGACGCACCTTTCCACGGCATCAACGAGATGATCATCAACCCGGCCCTGGAGCACTACGGACCCCAAGCGGCTTGATTGGAGCGTAAACGCATGAACCTAATACGACTGAGGCGACAGGGTAGTGAGTTGCGACAGTGTGGACCAACCCGAACAATCAAGACCTATGCAGGAGCCAGACAAGGCCGACGTGGAGTATATCACGTAAACTAGTGCACAGGCCCAGCCCACCGCCATAAAGCACCGACCTCGTCGCCACAACCTTCCCATGAATCGGGCGGAACCAGGCCAGGGCCCGTTGCCGAGAACCTCCTGGGAGCCCAGGGGGGCCCTGTGGGCCCGGGGGACGGCGAAGGGAATGACCCCATACGCCGAAGAGGAGGAACAAACGCAGACCGAACTAAGCGAGACAGAGATCGCCCTCAGGGAGACAGCAGGAATTCAATCAGATCACCAAGCAGCGCGCAGAACGACGGAAGCAAGAGTACCAGCAGAGGAGCGACGACGGGGTGGAGGAGTTGCACGTGGCATGGGAGAGACGAGATTTCGAAAGGGTTGGACGATCATCGCGACACATAGCAGGAGGACGCCACGGACCACGTAAACGAGACTATTGGAAGGCGGCCACCGCGATCTCGACCAAGCAGAGGCGGATCGATGTCTGGAAGCCACCAGGAGGCGAAGGAGGAGTGGAAGGCACGGGGCAGAACGAGGAGGAGCTAGAGCAGAGATCACACTTGGCGGAAGAGAGAAAGATATATTATTAAGACAGCGACTTAGAAGAGCTAGCGGAGGCAAGCTACGGAGAGATCACGAAAAGCCCGAAGACGGCTAAACTACTCAGGGTGGCTCCACCAATGGCAGCACCTTCGGAACGATGGCGACTACTGCTATGCCACCCGCCCGAGCTACAACAGCAGCAGCGACAAAGAGCCGGAGCGGAACGAGAAGCTAACGACTTGAAGGCATCGAGGCTCCATTGAGCGCCGCACTGGCAGAGATAGGAAACGGCAACGTGGCACCAGTGAGACGGCATCCATGCGCAGCAACGGCAGCACGGGAGCATGCGAAGAAAGGCCCCGCAGACAAGATGATCCACCACATCATGGACTCGACCGGCAAGGCGCACTACTCGGCAGGGATGAGCAAAAACAACGAGGCGCAAAGCGACCAGGATTACGGCTTCATAAAAGAAGAAAGACGACGGGAGGGAGTTACATTGCTTGCTGCAGGTGTGGAATTCAGGACGAGACAGGTGGACAGAAACTACGCGTCCACACTGAAGGTCATGTCCAAGGCCTTCGCGAGCTGCTCGCGGCTGACCATGAACGCGGCCAACAGCATGGTCACGCCAGCAGATCCATGGGACCTGGGGGAGCAAAGGTATCGCCGAGCCACGTTCAACATATCATGATAGAACACGGACCATGGAGCACGCATCAAAGCACATCGCGGAGGACTCATCGGAGACCCGCACATGGCCCGCGACTTCGCGGCGAGCGCCACGCCCTGCATCCAGGGATGGGTAGACAACTGCAACGAGGAGATCGACGCGGACAGCCGCCTGCACGGCAAGAGCGCGCTAGTCCATCACCCAATTTACATAGGCCTCGCCAAGCACGCAGGCGACGACAGGAAGCGAGTCCTTGAAAACGACGGCACGCAAGCGCAGGAATTGGCGGACACGGCCGAGAGAAGGCAGACGAGAAGCTCGACGTGAGGTTAGAGGAGACAGGAATGCGACAGAAACATGACAAGCCGAATAACATGATGAATGCCCAGGAAAATGGCACCACCGAGGCGCGCCGCGACCTGGAGCAGGACACCAACTGCAGGATGCCAGGCGAAGCACTCGAACAGCGCGCCACCTGGGCCCCAAGATCCCGGCGACGCGGATCTACGCCGCGGAGCTCCAGATGCGCGCCCTGGCGATAAAGAAGAGCCATTGAAAACGCAGAGGTTCCTGGACGAAGGCCGGCATCCCGTTCAGGTGGGCGCGAGCGCTTCTGATCTGCAGGGTCATCAGCACGGGCCCCCCCCGCATCGAGCGCCCCCCTGCCGACGCCGAGCGCGCGCCTGCAGCGGCGGAGCGCGGCGGGGGCACTCGCCCGACGGGCCGTGAGGAGCTGCTACTCGCCGCCAGGACGGCAGCGCGAGGGGCATGACCGCCTTGGAGGATGCTCGCCGCTGGCGAGTCTCACCGCCAGCAGGAGAAGCACTGACCTGCAGACTTGGCCGGGCAACAGATATCTTGAGATGCCCGAATAACCGCCGCCAGCGGACTGCAGCAATGTTCGGCCGGATCGAGTTCGAGAGAAAGGACGGCGGCGGCGCGACCAGCGAGCTCAAAACCGACGCGAATCCGGGGCCCGAAAATTCGCGAACGCATCGATTACGCCCGCGAGGCTTCGGAGAGTTCGCGCGGCACTCGGCGGCGAGATCTCGATCGGCAAACAATTCGCGCTAAACACACGAGACCAGCTACATCTATTTGATGTCAGAGAAGCAAGGTCAGCTGAGCCAGCAGTGGCAGCAGCCCCACCTGGAGTAGAAGAGAACGGCGAACTACTAGGGGAGCTGGCCCCACAGGAACTACAACCCTTGGCTTGTAAATTCACGGCGCAAGAGGAAGAGCGCGGATTGCTCATTGCACGCAAGAAGGCACTGCACAGCCACACCATACGAACTCATCATGCACATAATCTAGCTGCAACACTAACATCAAACAGCGAGTGCACCATTTGCGGGCGCGCATTCACGAGCAGAGGCACAGCGTAAAAGCACCCGGCTAGAAGCATGGCAAAAAGGAAGCTGCAACCATGACAAACTGAGAAACCAATGCCAGCCAGAACCCCGCAACCCGAAATGCCCAAAGCGTAGCCGCGTGGCCTTGGACAGAAGGAGTTGCTTCCAACGTGTGCACATGCACTAACCGAGACAGCCGCCACTAACCTTAAGAGCAGGATGGCGCCGTTCGATCAGGGGCCACAGCGGCGCGAGGCGGCGCCAGCGGCAGGACCCGCGCGCCAAGACCGAGGTAGACAGGGGCGACGCACACCCGCGGGACATGCAGGAGGCGCTGCGGCAGCACCCAACAACCAGGCGGTAGACCCCACGGCGCCTTTGGCACTCGCACTGGCACGGGAGCAGGCGGAGTGAGCCTCGGCGGCGCTACACACGCGGGAGATCCCGGCCGCCGCGAACATGGCTACTGCGGCGCCCGACTGCGGCAAGGACTACAACGACACGGCGCAGGACCTGCGCAGAAGGGCAGCTATAGGAGAGCAAGTCGACGCGGCTTCCTTCGGCAGCCCTCACGCGAAGATTTAGACGGACGTCGCGATCTACCCAGGACGCAGCCTGGAGGACGGAGCGGCGAAGCAGTTCATCGAGAAGTGCTATCAGGAGACGATGCTCAGTGGCAACGCGGAGCTGGTGGCAGACACCGCCCCCGTCTTCAGGGCGAGACGCAACAGGGGCAAGGAGGGCGGAGCAACGGAGAAGTGCAGGCTCCAGTTCCAGGTGAAACATGCCCACCATCTGCTCGAGACCATCGTAGCGAACCAGCTGAGGAAGGAGGGCGCTACTTACACGCAGAGTGGGAGCGGTGCCTCTGGGAGCGCTGGAGCGGGAGCTGGCCAGGCTGATCAACGGACGCGGGCACAAGAAGATCGTGGAGGTGAGGCCAGAGGTCGCTGAGCATTGCGTGCAGCCTCGCTCCGTTCTGCAGCCCTCCCTCCACCGTGCAGCGCCGAGAGTTTTCGAAAGGAGCGATCGCTTTCGCGAACTAGTACAGAATGGTAGACTCCCCCCTCCACCTCAGCAGGATGCCCCAAAGACTTTCAGCTACAGGGTCAAAGTTTCCCGAACCATTCTGCAATGCAAAGACTTCCCCCTCCCCCCGAACCGAGCGAAAGGGAAGGGGGAGAGGGGGCCAGGACAGGGGCGGGGAGAGGCAGCAGAGAGGGCATCCGCAAACGCGGGCGCTACGCCCGCGGACCCCTGCGCGGGGAGGTCGGCGCAGGTAGGGCACGAACGCCACATGGCGCCAGCGACCCCCTTTCCACGAAGTGAATACAGCCAGGCCAGATTAGATGTTTCAATGCGGCTCAGCTCTAGTCGATGGGGGGAGTAACACCGAATTTGCCCGAGAGCTCGATCGATCGTCCTCCTCCTCCTCCTCGTTCTCCTCCACCCCCTCCTCCTTCTCCTCTTCCTCCTCATTATCCTTCTCCTCCACCTCCTCCTCCTCCTCTTCACTATCCTCCTCATCATGTTCCTCATCATGTTTCTTATCCTCCTCCTCAATATCCTCCACCCCCTCCTCCTCGTCCTCCTCCTCCTCAGTGTACTTATCGTCCTCCTCCTCCTCCTCCTCCTCCTCCTCCTCCTCCTCCTCCTCCTCCTCCTCCTCCTCCTCATCATCATCATCATCCTCATCCTCTTCCTCTCCTCCTCCTCCTCCTCCTCCTCCTCCTCTCATGTTCCTCATCATCATCGTTCTTCTCCTCCTCCTCCTCCTTCTCCTTCTCTTCCTCCTCCTCCTCACTATCCTCCTCCTCCTCATGTTCCTCCTCATCATGTTTCTCTTCCTCCTCCTCAATCTCCTCCACCCCCTCCTCCACCTCCTCCTCCTCCTCCTCATTATACTTATTTTCCTCGTCCTCCCCCTCCTCTTCCTCCTCCTCATGTTCCTCCTCATCGTGTTTCTTCTCCCTCCTCCCCCTCCTCCTCCTCCTCCTCCTCCTCCTCCTCCTCCTCCTTTCTCCTCCTCTTCAGTATCTTCAGTATCATCATCATTTACCTCCTCTTGCTCCTCCTCTCCTCCTCCTCCTCCTCCTCCTCCTCCTCCTCTCCTTCTCCTTCTCCTCAGTATCCTCCTCCGCTTCCTCCTCATCATCATCATCATCAGTATCAGCATCAGCATCATCATCATTTTATTATTAGTATCAGCGTTGTCATTTTTTATTAGTAGTATTAGTATTATCAGTATTAGTAGTAGTAGTATTATTATGGTTAGTAGTAGTATTAGTATTAACAGTATTATTATTATTATTATTATTATTATTATTATTAGTGTTAGTATTATTACTTTTATTTGTTAAATATTATTATTAATATCATTATCATTATCATTATTAATATAAGTAGTAATACTACTATTACGAATGATATTATTATTAGTAGTATTAGTAGTATTAGTAGTAGTAGTAGTAGTAGTAATAATAATAGCATTCGTAGTATTAGTATTGGTATTACTAGTATTATTATTAGCATTAGTAGTAGTATTATCATTATTAGTATTCGTATTATTAGTATTCGTATTACCATTATTATTATTAGTATCATCGTTGGTTTTAGTATTATTAGTATTAGTAGTAGTCGTATTTTTGTTGTTATTGATAGTATTAGCATCATCATCATTATTATTGATATTATTAGTATCCTTCTCCTCCTCCTCCTCCTCGTTCTCCTCCTCCTCCGCCTCCTCCTCCCTCCTCCTCCTCCTCCTCCTCCTCTTCCTCCTCCTCCTCCTCCTCCTCCTCCTCCGTAGCCATTTTGGCTCAAGCCGGTCTCAAGCCCCCTGCTCGCCATTTCCGCATCGCGCATGGCCGGTTCCGGAGGTGGCGCTGCTGAAGCTGAAGCTTGACCACATGGCTACGGGAGGGCCCTCGCCACCGCCGGTGGCGCGTGAGGCCCCGCGTGCGTGGGCAGGCGCTTCTGCTCGCGCCTTCCAGCGGCGGCTGCGGAGGCGGCGTGCGGCGGCCTGCCTTTCCCCCCGTGCCGATCTCCATCGGCGGCTCCAGGCCTTCCACCGCGGCTTGGAGCTTCACGCCTCGCTCGACGCGCTCCTGGGTACTCACAGCCACTGTCTCGGGACCGCTCTCGCGCTGGCCAAGCCTTGGTTATCGAGACAAGCCCACATCGACGCGGTGCACGTGAAGAAAGAACGGGATGCAGCGGCACACGGTGCCTTCTCTTGGCTGAACAATCCTGGCGGGCCAGCGCAGGCTCTGCCCCCGATCCCTACGGGTGTCGGGGCGTGGCACGCCGCCCACCTGGAGGCAATGCTGGCGGCAAAGGTCCCGCCCGTCCCCAAGTACGTCGTCATTGAGGTGCCGCAGCTGCTGCCACCTGCCGATGAAGGCGCTCCTTGTGGATGTGATGCCGCCGACACGGCGTCGTACGACTCCGACGTGCCCAGTGGCCATATCCCGCCCGATCGCCCTGCTGGTTTGGCCCCCTCCAATCTGCTGCAGGGCCTCTGGGAGCCACTCTGGGACCCTAGACCTCCCGAACCGCCCGCGTTCCCTGTCGTGGAGGAGGCGGGGCACCGCGCGGAGGAGGCAGCTGAGTGGCCAAGTGCTGGTGACGCATATTCAAATCGCAATTTCATGTCGGACCGCTCTGGAGAGGACATTGGGTCGGACACCTTCAGCGACGACCTGGGCTACAGCAACGTGTGCTTCCCCGTTGACTCGTCGCTTGGCGTATCCACTGTGGCTGGTGGGAGGGGCCCGTGCACTTCGATACACGTTGTCCAACACGTCGACGCGTTTTTGGTCACCGAGCTGAAGAATCGCACTTGCGACGGCTGCTCGGTTGTAATCGCTGAAGCCGACGGGCCCGACTCCGAGGCATTGTGGTGCAGAGGGTGCGGCATGCTCATCTGCCCGTGGTGCTGGCCGCCCTGGCTCGAGAAGCGTGTCCACGAGATTGCGAGTCCATGTACGTGATCAACCTCGTGGTCTGCCTGGTCGTCGTCGTGGTGCCGCACGCCTGCGCCCAGGAGGAGCGGAGAGCAGGGAGGGTATCCGCCAGAGGGGCGCAGCGGTAAAAAAAATCCTCCTCCTCCTCCTCCTCCTCCTCCTCCTCCTCCTCCTCCTCCTCCTCCTCCTCCTCCTCCTCCCCCTCCTCCCTCCCTTCTCATTGCCTCCTCCTCCTCCTCCCGGTTCCAGCTCGGTTCGAGCCCCCCACCCCCCGCGGCCAGGCGCGGCCAGGCGCCAGCGGCCCCCGCCCCCCCCCCCCGCCCCCGCGCCGTTCCCTCTCGGCGGCTCGAAGGTGGGACTCTCCACGGCGGGGCCCAGAGGGTCGAGACTCGTACGGGGCCAGGACGACCCGCCAACCCCCCCCCCCCCGACGGCCTCTCCGAGGGCCGCTCCGAGCCCAGACCCCCTCGTGCCATGAAAAGACCATGGCGGGGAGTTGTTCGTCATGTTCGGGGCCCTTCCTGGCCCTCGGGACCGTCAAAAAGCGACTCGGGATAAAAAACTGGCTGGTCCCGGGAATGGTTCGAGACCTTTGGGGGTCGACGCTATGCAAAAACAAAAAAAGAAACATCACGTCGGGCCTCTCCGAGGGCCGCTCCGAAGGCCGCTTGCCTCCGGTCGACGAACAGACACCCGCACGGACCCGAGACCGTCGGAAGTCGGGGCGCTTTCCTACAGGGCCTGCGCGGGGTGCCCCTGGCGGCGCCGCAGGCGGCGCCCCTGGCGCGCGGGTGCTGCCGGGGAGTCGGGCCCAACACCGATCGAAGAACTCCGCGCGGAACTCCGACAGCTTGTGCTTGGGCAGTTCTCGGACGGGGCGAGGACGAGGAAGGATCCGTTCCGGAGCGTTTCGGCATGCTGTCAGAGCGTGCCGGCACGCTCTGAGAAGGCCGCGG